AAAAAAAAAAAAAAAAAAATGCATTGACCCATGTCACTTTAGTTTTGTGTATTTCACTATACATAAATTATATTTCAATAAAATGCATTTTAAAAAAACAAGCTTTTCATAGCAGTTAATATAAGTCATTCAACTCCACAGTCCTTACAATTACCACTGATTCTACTATTTGTGTGGTAGAACTTTCACATAACCTAATACTTCCCTTTTCTCCAGTACTTCATCTCAACCACCAAGGCAATGATGATGCTACAGGATGTCCTGGGTTGTCACCACCTGCTCACCACCACCCAGAGCACCTTTGCTGCCAACTAGCAATTCCTGATCTAGTTACCAAATCCCATTTAGAGGGTCTGCTTTCTAGGGCCACTTCTGTCACCAAGTGCTTAGTCTGGGTTTCTTCCCCAAAGCAGAGCCTAAGACAAGGTCTAGTCTTTTGGTATTCATGAGTCAGAATAGACTCAACAACAACTAACAACAATAGTTTATTTGGAAGGTGATCCCAACAGGGAGTAGAAGGGAGGAGCTGGAGAGAGTAAAACAGGAAAGAAGAGTTAATAACAGTCATGAGCAACTGAGGCATGACTCCACCAACAGGTTTTGACAAAACGCCTCTCAGAATTATCCACTCAAGGATCAAACGGCGTAGCATTTCTCCACTGGCTCTTATCTGCCAGTGGTTGTAGGTTGCCTCAGGAGGCAATAAGGCAATACGTTGCCAGCACTCCTGGGCTGAATAATACTTACATGCTGAGTGGCCTCTTGTCAGTGTTCCATGACACAGTGTCAGAGCAGCCTAAGAACAGAAAACAATAGATCTCTGGGAAGCACTGGAGGCAAGACTGCTGACATGAAGTGACTGAAGCCCATGTGGAACTGTCCTGTAGCAGGTGCTGGAATCAGAGGGGAGGCTGAGGGGATGGAAGGCAGGACCCCAGAGGTGTCCTATCCACATGTGGCCTTATTGAATCATCTTCCTACTGACTGGAATGTGCTCTATGACCATTATTTAGGGGTATAAATAATACTAGGAAAAGCTCCTTTATGTTTAATGTTTCTATTCCCTTTGTATCTTGAATTATTGATTTTGGATACATCCTGAGAAGTAAAATTATTAGGACAAAGAGGCTGAACATTTTTAAGGCCCTTAATACACACTGCCAGATTATTTCCAAAAATTTGTACTGATTTATGTCCTACAAGAAGTTTATATGTGAGACTACTGCCTTTACAAAAAAACTCAACTACTATTCATATTCTAAATTCATGTGTTCTGAAGGCTCAAATTTACATGCTCTGAGAGACCAGAGGTATTATATAACTTGAATATTATATAACATTGCATTCCTTACACATACACCCCACCCTAAAACTCTTAATTGCTTTTTGGCAGACTTCAGTGTTCTTCTCCTTGATGTTTGTTTGAAGGCCACTAAAGACAGCTCTGTTCTGTAGAAAGAAACTGTGGGTCTCTCCAGAACAGTATTTTTTTCAGGTCTTTGCTAGTCTGTGTTCAATTTTCTCTTTCTTTATTTTCTGAGAGTTGGAATTTCCAATAAATGTCTCATCTAGAAACAGGCTGCTCCTTGGAAGTCTTATTTCATGTGAGATGTCTACATTTTACATATGGGGTAGCCTTCAAAGGCATGGGATGATCCGAGGCAGATACGAGCACCTATTTCTCTCCTTCCTTTATTCTCTCTGTAAGTGCTTAGCCAGCCAGCCAGTTTTGTAGCACTTTATTATATAACTGGCTCTGGAAAGCTTCATTTGTCTGTCGGGAGGGAAATGCAGCTTAGCTGAGTTTCACACGTGATAGTACCCATTTTAATTTACGTACCTCAAACTGATTCACTGAAGCTAATCATCCAAACCTAAGGCTTACTCAGACTACTCACACTCCAGTTGCATCTCTCCACCACTACTGCCAAAGTTTCACCATGGGCAGTCAACTAGAGCAGAAGCCATTAAGCCCAAGTCTCAGCAGCTGCTTCTCTCCTAAAGGACTGACCTGGCCACACAGAGAGGAGGTATGCCAGGACCTCTTGGAACCAGTCTACAAGAGCTTCACTCACATTATGCTCTTTCCATTAGGCGATAAATTCCGAACTCCTTACCCAATTTGTCCCACTGAAACGCAGAGACAAGTGCCACAGCTGAGACACTCTCTACAAATCGACTCTTTCCCCAGGGCTTCTTAAGATTGATTTGGGAGATTCAGTGCCCCTGGAAAATACTGCTCAACCTATGAATAGACTTAATTCCAACACCCTGTGCTGTGAGTACAATCAAGGCTTGTAGGAACCATGGCCTTTCTCCTCCCTGAGAGTCTGAAGGCAGGCTGACTAATCAAATGACACCATCTCTAAGGCAGCTTCTTAATGCTGAAAAAACTAAATCTAACCAAACACCAGGGAGTGGTTATAAAACACTAAGCAATTTCAAACAAGAGTGATAAGAAAGATGGGCTAAAGGCCAAGGTGGCTTGCAGAACCCTTGGCCCTGGGCAGCTCTGCCTGAATCTCTGGGAGGGCAGGAGGAGGGAGCTTCCCCAGGCCTCAGGGCTGAATTGTTCGCTAGGGAGGTTGGGTGGAGGGGGAAAGCCCTGGGTCTGTAGCTGGGACATAGTGCCTCCTCCCTTCTCCTCTAGAGGCACCCAGACACATAAGGTGAATTAATTTTTCCTTGGGATCCTTATTTTGAAATCCCTACAGGAGAATAACTTTTTTAAAAAATGTGCATCATAGGTATTTCCTTTAGGCCATTTTCTGCCAGGTCTTCACGTAAGTTTGTTTGCTGTTGTTTGGAACTCCTCCCTCAGCAGGAGATGGGAGCTGGCAGACCCATAACCCAGCCTCTCCCTTGGCAACAGACCTCGGATTTTGTTGTCCTTCACCAGGCAGGGCTGGACCCCCTGAGGGCTCACCAAATGCTGTTTACAGCTCAAGAACTCCAGCCATACCGACCGGACCAGAAAATAGATTTTAATTTTACATGTACAAATGTTGCCTTAAAGTCACAAAAAAAATATATACAGAGTTCGGTGTGAAAGGAAAAGTAAAAAACAAGCAATCCACCAATGAAGGAATGGTGTACAAGTCACCCCAGGAATCCAACTTTCTGTCTCTTGGGCCCCAGGCTTTCTTCTTTGTGTAGGACACTCTTCAGGGAGGCGTGCAGCACCTTGCCCACTCGCTTGCTGGTCTGTAGGACAGAAGGAGGGGGAAGAGCACACACACAATGGTGAAGCACACCCACTCAGACCAGGGCAATCTTCTATTTCTGCCAGCTTGCCATCCCAATGTTTTACACATTTCACCTGCCTTGTAGGACTTTATTTCATTAAAACAGAAACATACCCCAAACGCTTATAACATAATGGTTGTATTCTGGAAAAACTTCCATCCCCTAAAAAGGACACTGACCCCTAGGCAGGAAGCAGCAAAGCAAAGGCTGCATCAACCCTTAGCCCACACTTAGCATTCTTGTTGCTGTTACAACAAGAAGCAAAGTTGTCAATCAAATCCATACTTGGGTTACAGTCAAGTCAAACTGTACTGCAGTAAGAGGCAGAGGAGGACCACAGAGAATCTAGAAACTGTCTGATGAGGGAGCAGAAGGTGCCAAGAACACATTTAACTAGCAGTTTCTCATTCACCTCCCACCAGGCCTATATAAGTAGAATTGCTCAGACAACTGATTGCTCAGTCAATGCCTGCATGGGGTCTTTGGTGTTATTTCCACACAAAGAGGAGCTAAAGGAATTGAGACCCGTCACCAAAAAACCCAACCTCACTGCCATCAAGCGACCCCTCTTGGGTTTCCAAGGCGATATCACTATGGAAGTAGATTCCTCAACTTTCCTTCTGAGGAGTGGCTGGTGGGTTTGAACCATCAGCCTTCTGGTTAGCAGTCAAATGCCTTAG